TTGCAGAGTTTTTTTAAAGACTGGTGCTCATTTTTACTGTAGTTATGGGATTTTTTTTAAGACAATGGCCACAGATTTATATATGCAGAATTGTCAAGGGCCACAAAAATCAGATTACCATTTTGTTGCCCGCTGAGATGGTCTGCCATCTTTTAGAGTATTTTCAAAAATACATAGTATAAATCTCTTAGCATATTTTCAAAATACTGCTAAGACAAAGTGTGCATAAACTGTTTTGAATACTAAACATTGCTTGTATTCTTGCTGGCCAAATTATCTATCATGAGGGAGTACCAAGGAATTAAGCAGGAATTTTGTAAAACTAACTTACTCGGCCTTCTCAGCTTCTGCTTTTCTTTGTGTTCCAGCTTCTTTTGCAAGTTCAGATATCTGCAAAAAGTATTTCAACTGTCAAAATGGATCCATTCAAATAAAATTCTGGTAACTTTAGTTACTGTCTTCTAAAAAACAAATAAAATATTAGCCATGCTATGTTTTTTATACCACTTCACACTTTCAAATTGTTAGGTTTTTAAAAATAGACAGCTTGGGCTAGATTTTAACAGTGAAAATGGCAAAAATTCTTCTGATAGTGTTGTCAATTGCTAGTCCAGTTGACTGAACAACTTCAAGTAATTGTACATGGTGATCAGAAACATTATGTGACCAGCTGAGAATAAAGGTAACTATATCCAGATCATATCCTAATACTAAAGTCAGTCACAAAGATTCAGTGGAGTTACTGATTATGCAGAAAATTAGCATCAGTTTGCCTCTTTCCAAATATGAAACTAGAAATAATATATTAATGTTAGCAGCAAATATCTGAAAAATATAATGTTATTATCAGATATTACAAAAGCCAATCACTTTGTCATGGTCAAGTGATGCAATTGAAAACAAACTTAATCAACTACTTACACAATGTTTTATTCAAACCGTTTTTCTTAACTGAGCTGATGGTTCATGAAACCTTTACTGGCAAACCTCACAACCCTTTAAGTACCTGTTTGCAACATTCCTTTGAGATAAGGAAAAACTAATATACAATTTTACAGATGGCTAACTGCAGCAAAGAAGCTGGAACCTGGATATGAAACACTTTTAGGCTCAGTGTTACAAGACCAAAGTAAACTCATTTCAGAGGCAGTTTGAGTATCTAAGCTTTAGTGGAAATCCAAGAGATGTGGGCTCTGAAGTTCTAGACTCACAAAGGAATTCAAAGTGCATAAATTTGTTTCAATTCACTTTTGCAAAAACCTATCTGAACTCTTACACCTCTTCTGTACTCTCTTGAAGTACTTAGACAGCAACTGCCTATTGGTCCTGCATTTCTGTTTAATATATAAATACAGTTATCTAAACTTTCTCCCACTACTTGTCCGGATGCCTATCTCTTGCATGTAAGTAGGAAAAGGATTTAGGAAAGAATTTACTAAATTGACTTTGCCTTGCAATATCTCACCTATTATCTGTGGAACCTCATCTAAAAAACAATGTATGTGTAACTCTTCCACAAAGAATTTTCCCTAAGATCTCAAACTGGTGGAGGGTTCTTCAAAGATCATTTGATGATGCCTAGTTCTTCGAAGAGGTAGGGTGATAGAAGAATGAATAAACCCCTATCCATCCTCTCCATCCCTTTATCATATCCTCTCTCAATTTTCTCCTTTCCAGGCTGAAAAGCATTAACCTACTTAATTTCATACACAAGATTTGTTCCATATCGAGTTTAATAACATTTTGACCTTCACTGAACCTTTTTCAGCTTTATGACACTCTTTTTGAAATGAGGAGACCTGGTCTTTGAGATACAGATATACTTCAGGTTCATGGAGCATAGTAATATTCTGGGATTTTCGTCTCTCTCTTCCTTTCTCAACAATTCAAAATTTCAGTTTGCTTGATTCACATTTTCATTGAACTGATCATGTTGTGTAACTCTATTATATTCCCAAGGTTTCATACCCAAGCAGTAACAATCAGCTCAAAATCCAACATTTTATATGTAAAATTATAACTTTTCCTGTCATATACATCACTGTTTTTTACCTGCTGTATTAAGGCAATTTTGCAGTTAGCTCTTGATTTTACTGCTACCAAGAACTCAGATTTATGGCAAACTTTCAGCTTACTACTTTTTTTCTTATTTGTAAAGCCACATAGCTCTCAGTACAGATTCTTGTGGAACTTCAGAGTAAAAACAAAGTCCTAACAATTTGCATCATATACAATTCCAGAAGTTATTTTGCAGTTTTTCTGGCTATATGGTGATGTCATTGACCTTATCACCACATAGGTGCTTTCACAGTGTATAGAGGTGGACTTCTATTTCTATCCAGTTGTGTAAGTTTTATCATTGTAGATGCCTAAGAAAGCAATGTAACAATCAAAAATTCCCTTTGGGAAGTCACTATAGCTGTTTCTACTTTGAGCTCTACTTAATAGTTCTATCCAGTGCTCTAACTGAATTACTTGAGCCATTAACATATATAATGTGAAGTGAATAGCAATTTCTGTAATATAGAATTAGTGTAAACATTATTTTGACAAATTTCACTGGATAACATATTAAAGGTAAAAGCTGGATTAATTGCATAACTGCAATTAACAACTCCAAGTATCTGCAAAACTTACCGAGTATTTTCATCAATAGTTACAAACACATCTGTGAGAAGTGCATAGATCAAAGTAAAGCAAATGCTAAAATGTTTATTCAGATCTGAATTAAAATATTTACTTCAAATATAGTTGAAGAAAATTCTGATTTATTCATACCTGATAAGATCCTTAAGTTAAAACAGTATTTTTAAATACCAATCAATCTGCATTTATGCTAAATGAGACGGGATTTGAAAGGACTGTAATTTTTAAGGACACACATAAAATTAATTAGTAAATAAACAAGAAAAATAACTGGAAAAATATATTTCAGTCCAGGCAAGAACCAGATTTTGGAGAAAACATACAAATGAAGATGATATAATGAACTAAGAGGTTGTAAAATTTAAGTTTATCTTGAAAATATCTGGGGAGTATATCATACAGAGTTGGATTAACAATGAGAGGAAAGATGCATTTGAAAGACAAGTAGAAACAGATCTGAAGTATAAAGAGAAACACAATGCCTTCCAAATATGACAAATGCATTTTGGTTTTGACATTTAGTTCAATCCATTTATAAACAGAAAAATATTCTATTTAGCTCAGCTGAGTGGAATAAAATATATTGTTCAGAAAGCAAAATAAAAGTAAAGCGTAATTATATGATAACCTTAAAGTATCAATAAATTCAGGTAAATTTATTTCAAATAATAGGAAAAAAGCATACTACATTGCACGTGATCAGTAAAGCATGTAGGAGAAAGATTATAATGATAAGGCATTTTTATGGAGAAAATAAATTGTAAAGTAATTGTCAATATGGGGCATGTAGTATAAACAAGATCACAAACCATTTAAAGCAAAAACTGTGCTTAGAAATTTGATAGCAATTTTTGGCTTTGAATAAAGTCCAAATGAATGGTAACAACAATCTACTGCACTGAAATCTTAACACACTGGGCTGAATTTTTCTGTAATGTTAACTCTCCTGTTGGTTTTAAATGAGTACAGTTTGTAAAGTATGGTCTCCATGATAACATTTACTAATCAGTTAAATGGCAAATAATTATATTCATAAAATTCATCATCATCATCATTATTATCATTATTATTATTATTTCGGCATTCAAATACAAAATCGCTTTAATATACCTGTAATCCTTTTTTCTTATGAACTGCATTTTCCAAAGATGGCTGGATCTCAGCAGCAAGAATTTCTGCAATATCTCCAAGTCCAGCATCATGACAATATTTTGATCCACCTTCTTTCTTTGTATGAATGCCAAAAATGTCTGCAATTATGTCAGTCTCTCCCTTTTCACCCTTCACAAACTGCAGAAGTTCAGCTTTGATACCATGCTCAGCACCTTCAGCTTTTTCTGCTTCCATAACATCATCATGGATTCCAAACTGTGTTGGATCAGGCATATCTCCTAATATTTTAGTAACTTTTATGTTTTTGGCTCCTTCAACCAAGCCACCCCCAAATACAGTGCTCCATAAAATCTGGAAAATTCCCCACACTATAGAAAAGAACAGCTGGAACATCCCTACAAATAGGATCCAGAAAAAGGAGAAAAACATTTTCACCATCTCTTTTACTGACATTTTTTTAACTTTCCTATATTGTTTCCTTAGATTCTTCACAGTGACCATTTTAAAAAAGTTGGCAACATTCTTCTTCACTGCAACACAAGCTACTGCAAAAGCTGAAGCAGGTTCCAGGGACTTTTCTTCTTCCTCATCATCTCCAATATCCACTACAAAAGCAGGCTCTGCTTCTTCCTCTTCCTCAGGCCTCTCAGGTGAATCTGTTTCAGAGATCTGGGATGCTAACTGCATTTCAAAGATTGTGTCTTCACAGAAATTCACAAAGAGTTCCATTTTTTCTTGCTCTCCTCCTTCATTTACAACATCAAATATGAACTGTCTTTTGGATTCCTTTACCTGTGGCTTCTCCCACTGCATTCTACTGGATTCACTGATTTCAAAGTAAACTCTTTCTATTTTCTTGGCCCCACCCATTATTTCAATACGGCCAAGGTATGGCTCAAAGTAATTGAGAACACTTTCTGCCGGTTCAAGCAAGCTCTGAAGGCGTGAATCATTAGGCATGTGCTCTGAAAGGTTTGTTAGCAATACTGCTACATTAAATCCAATGTCTTTCGCTGGTTCATGGAATCTTTCCACGAAGTCAACATAGTTAAACATATCGTTTTCATCAGCTTCTGTACAGGACAACAGGAATTCAATCTCTGACTGTATGTATTGTTTTTGAGCCTCCATTGATTTCTGAAATTCCTTCTTTGAAATGATTCCTTTACCATCGGGGTCATACTCCTTGAAAGCATCTGAGTTAGTCAAATCTTTTAACTTGAGGAACATATCAAAGAACTTCAAAATCATTTCTACATTGCTAGATGATTCTACAAGTGTGTCTACCATTTGTTTCCCGATAGTTCCATTTACAACGTTACCTAAGTAGTGAGTTAAAACAGGAAGTTATTTGGCAGGTACATTTTAAGTAAAGACATTACGCATTCATGCTAAAAACAGAACAAAAATGTTCTTAAAACTTAGTATTTTTTCATTCAACAAGCTTTCTGTATCAGTCCTCTTTTCATGCCTTTGTATATTCCAAAATAATTCTTAAATAAATACGAAGTAGCTTTTTCCCCCCTGACGTTACATAACAGCCATAAAAAATCAATTTAGAAAAATCAACACAATAACTGTGCTTTACATTATGAAGGTGAGATAATCATATTTGACCATAAAGGAAAGCAGGGCCAACCTTCAAGCAGTGACAAGAGCATCACTACCATATCCTTTAGCAGATCTAGCAGTTCCTTAAGCAATTCAATCTGAGCAGAGTCCTGTAAAGAAATGGAGTGTAAGATTTTTTTTCTTTGTATTTATCTGGAAAACTAAATAAACTTGGAGAAAACCAGTATGAAAAATGGTCAGCTAAGTGTAGTTCACATTAAGGGCCTAAATACTGTTAAGTAATTTTGAAATTCTGATATGCTTCTATAGGGTGGGAAGTAATCTTTTAAGTCAGAGGGTAGCAGAGACACTGAATAAGAGTGAGGAAATGACTCTCTGCATTGTTATATTCAGTGCTTAGCAGCAGGTTTAATATTAGTAAATGTGAGTGCACAGTGATGACTAATCCCAAAAGGAGTGATATGAACATGTTAGCCCTGAGATTCAGTCTTGGACCTGTACATTACAACAACTCATTCACCATCAGTGAGTTAACTGCTTTGTAGCTTTCAGGGTTCACTTGACCTAGTTATAAACATATGCAAAGAAGGATTACTTAACTACTGAAAATACCTGTGAAAGTTTCATTTGCATATTGGCAAAGACATGAAGAAAACCAACAACTGCATCCCACAGCCTACTATGAGCCAGACTCTGTTGATTACCTATGCAAGGGCCCTACAAAAATTAAGAAAATGTTTTTACTTATGCAAGAAATGAAGAAAACAATTTGCTTTCCTAAGATTCCCCCCCCACCCCCTCGAAAAAAAGAAAAACGTTTCAGGCTCCCATTAAGCTACACGAGAAAGTTTTCCAAGATTTCTTTAGTATCTAGTTCATAAATACCAGATTGTATTACATTAAATATGTAGTTGTTCACACGTTTTAGTTTTCACTGTACACTGGTTCAGTGACTCCATGTAACTTTATCACAATTTTAAAAAATAAAGCTGGAGTGTTTACAAATTTATGACAGAATATGATCATGCCATGTAATCATGTAACTTCACTGTTGTTACCTTGAGCAAAACATTCTGTTTACCTGGATATATTCTGTAAGGGAATTGAATATTTGTTTGGTGACAGCCAAAGCTTTAGAGAAGTTACGTTGTCCTGATTCATCAATGACATCCTTTCCTGAATAGTACCAATAGAAATCACTGATGGATTCCTAAGATAAAACCAACAATGTTATGTTTTCAAAATAATAATATTTTCAAAAGTTGAATCAACAATTCAGACGAAATTTAGTATATCTGTGTCAGTCTCTCATTATGATAATATTTTGCACTCTCTTCAGGATTGAACAATGCAATCAATTAACAAACATCTGGTTTCACACAGAATTCTGTAAGGTCATCTATTTTCAAAGGAAAGAAGGTACAAAAGAAAGCATAATTTTTTATTTTAGATATCCCTTTAGAGAGAATTTTAACATTGGATTCCATTAAAATATGAATTTGTAAAAGTGATGGAAAGGCAAATATGTTATACTCCATTTTACTCTTTTTTACCTCACCTGAAGGCGCAAGAGATAGTCAACTGTACTAATGATAATATTCACTGTTGTGGTGTTGCCCATCTGAGTACGTAGGTAATTTTGAAAATCTGAAATAAGAAGTGATTGGTTAGTATATATAGGGGAAAAATATAGGGTTATTTTTATTATTGCATGGAGAATTAATAGAGTAGATCACAATGTAAATACAACTGAAGAACCGCCATCCACCTGACTTGCAATAGGCATTATTATACAAAAACCTGAAATTACATTAAGATTTTTTAATCAAATTGAACTCTGCAATTCAGATTGTTGTCATGCCAGTTTGCCCTCAGAAAACTAAATGAATTAGAGAAAAAAACCTTTAGAATTGGTTTTAATCAACTCTGTTTAAGAATAGACTTATCCCCAAAATTAATTCTGTTCACTTACCATTATTATGTCCTTCACAGAGCAATTGCAAAAATCTAAATAGATCTCGAGTAAATTCATCATGTTGCAAGACTTTTTCACCTTTAAAATATAAAATACAATGATTATGTGACAATTTTTATGATTAATTATGCAGAACATATAATCTTATGATTACCTTTAAAACTGGAATTTTAATAAAACACCAGTATTATAAAAGCATTAAAGCAATTTAAGACTGATAATAATGAAAAGAAAAACTGAGACAGAAAAAGCAGAGCCAATGTATTTAGCACTCCAATGCATCCATGATTTAAAAAAGCAACACTAACTAAAAAACAAACAAACAAAATCATCAAAAAAAAAAAAGAAAACAACAGGATATATATTTAATAAGTTAATTGTTAGTCATTACTAAAATCATGCCTTAAATATGAGTGAACCTTTTTTAATAAGCATCAAACTCTTTATCCAAGCTGAACACACAACCTGCTGCAGACCATGAAGCTAAACCTAAAGATATCTGAAAAGATGCAATGAGAGATTTCTCTCTGTATTTGCAACACACTTTTGCAACAATAGTATCAAAAACTGTAAACCCAAACATACCACGCTCACGAACGATGACTGTGGATCAAAGAAAAATAACAAGAATACAAGATAAGAATATCATAAGTTACAATTTTTTCTTACAAATTATTGCTAAAGATATTGTAAAAATAAAGCATATTCAGAACTCAAAGCCTACATTTACTTAGAGCAAGTTTAACAACAGAAACCTTAAGCCACAGCAAATAACAGTTCTAGTTAAAGAAGGAAGCACAAAAGTTTGAAGCACTACTGGAATCAATTTCATTCTACTTACGAGTTCCTTCTTCAGTAACCATTCCCAGGCCTTCTGCTTTATTCTGTCTCTCAAACGCATTCAAGTCAAGAACACTTATATTTGAAAAAAAACACAAAAACACAGTAAAATAGGAAAAGGCACTATAGTATTGTATTTCCATTATAATGGAAAATTATTTCTATGAAATCTCTGTTGGTGTTCAACCACTAACCTTTACCCACTATGGCATGCATTGCCTCATATTTTATTTAATATTCATATTAAATAAAAGAGATTTGGAAGAAACTAAGGGTCCAGTGTCCATTTCTGAAAAGAAAAGAGTCTCAGGTCAGGTCTCACCACTTACCTAACTACACTTCCAGTATTGTCATTCATAGTTTCATGTATAAATAAGGAGTGGAAAAGGAACCTGAAATATTACTCTTTGTGTTGACTTAAACCTACCTCCTAGAGGACATTACTGGAGTTATATCTTACTCACACTGGTTTCGTCTATGCTGTCACTGTAATTTCTATAATATCGTTATTGTATACATTATGCATTATTATGTTATTCAGAAGTTGTATGAAATTTCTGATTCCCTATTCAGAAGGCAGAAATGTAATCACTGATTCCATATCTTCCAAGGTCAAAAGATACCGAGATCTGAATTTTATTTTGCTAACTTGGCACAGCTCAGCATGTGGAATAGCAGATGATGAGTCTTCTCACCATGCAGCCAGAATACTGTCCAAATATAATTCCATGATAATCTAGTTTTCAATTCTGTTAAATAGTAATACAGTCACACATTCTATCTAGTGACATCATTAAAACTGAAAACATTTTTTTAAAGCATCATTTTCATTCTCTTATCACTGCTCAAGTCATTTTATCAAAACACCTTTTAATGAAGTCCTGAATGATACACATACACAGCTGGCAATAACATCACAGCAGGGTCTGTTTGAGGAAGTCTCTGCTAATGTGTTCTACATAAATGGAAAAATTACATGCTGGTGCAACTATTCAACAATAATTTCTGAAGAACAGGTTACCACTCCTTCCACATTTTATCCTGTCTTCATACAGCTTCTCCATTTCTAATTCTCAGTCTACTCCTTCAGAACTCTTATGTTGCTTTAAACGACTAAGAAAAGGAGGTTGTCTACTGTAAGAGTAATCAGAAACACCAAGAGTTTTGCTCCTTCTGTATGGGAGTCCTTTAAGTTAACTAATTTGTATTTCTAGTTTATCAAGGGAATGGACTACTACAGTCTCACTGGCCATATGCCATCCTCAACCAACCTCATACATATGCAGAGGACTTAGATGAAGAGAAAGAGATTATGTAACTCCCTAGAAATGTGCAGGAGGTGAAAGCTTAGTAAAAGCTCTGCTGGCCTGTCTTTCCCTCAGTGATGGGTTTTCTCCATCCTTAGAACCAACCAGACAAAAAACTTGAGAGATCTAGGACCAGTAAAGGAGCCAATACATTTTATTTTTCTGCCTATCCAACCTAAGCCTTCAAAGGTATGCAGTCTTTTGCTTTATTTTCTCATTTGGAAGACTACTATAAAAGATTTAGACTATTCCTGTGATTCACAAAACTTTTCCACAAGAGTTTTACAACTTGTGACTTCTGTAATTTAAATCTAGCAAATCCACCTGCACTGAGCAAGGTGCCGCCAACATGAGTAAAACAATTTATGCTTTTACCTGCAGGACTGCATCAAACCAGAGAGACTTTGAAAAAATCCAGCATCCTTTTTCTCCTTCAGGTAGTCCAGCATTTTCTAAAGGGTACATATTTGGGGGAACAATAGATGATATTAACATTAAATGTGACACAATAATTAATAGCAAAGTATTAATATTTATCAACTACATCAACATTAATAAATAGTAAGTAACATAATATGAATTTACAACTTTCTGAATGACCATTTGAAATGCAAATCACTGGCAAGCAATATCATTGTTACTGCACCCAAAATACATTGATATTTCTTCACTGTTTGTCTTAAAATTAAGTGCACTAAAATAAACAACAGGAGACTAAAATGCTGAAAATTACTTGCCTCATTTATGCAAGCAAGACTCACAGTAGTTAGAAATGCATTACCTGTTGAACTATGGTGTTTCCACCATTTAGAATAGCAATACCAAGTTTTAGTGTTTCAACAACCATCGGTCCTGTATGACCTGTCAAAACAAGGATACAGTCACTAAAACTTGCAGTTATGAACTATTCAATCAGAAATGCAGTCTGTAAATGTTGCCCAGTACAGCTAACATATATTTTGCCACACTATATATCATATAGAAGTTGTATATGATATATATACACCACAGGTATAATGACATAATACAATATATATATATATGCCTAACATTATTAACACCTATGACACGTGCATCATGTATACTTTAAATATGCCACAGAACATTACCTTTACTTGCACTTATCATCTGAAGAACCATCTCAGCAGCTCCACGATCATGTAAGCGAGCTTGCTGATAGAGAGTTCTCTGTTTTTCCATTTCTTTCTCCTGGGTTTGGGAACAAAAATGAGAATAGAATACAGACTGGAACTGATCCAGAAAAAATAGGAAGATGAGAAATCTGAAACTGTTGAAGGCCATCTGTCTCCATAATCCATGGATTGTTTGACTCCAGAACTTCAGAACACACTGTCTTTCTTTTATATGAATAACCCAGTAAACCAGCTCAACATGGTGTTATGTTATTCTTGCATTTATTCTAGTGGACATATTTAAAATACTTGCACATTAGGTGATGAGATTTTAACTCACCTCAAATGTCTTTTCTTTTTCCTCTTCTTCCTCTTCTTCTTCCTGACAGCTCTTTTTACATTAGAAACAGAAATCACAAGATCTTGCTTATTAGGAAACATAATGCCTATTTTTACTATAATATTTCTACAAAAATGGCCAAATGGATTTTTTTCAAGTAATAATTATGGGCATTCAGAAGATTTGAAGCCCTAGTAATTGTAAATATTTGTACTCATCCACACTAAGAAGCTGATATTCCCTAATGTATGAGTATTTCAGAGTATTCATTCAGCTACACACACACACTGTAACTTCAGGCTATGTGTTCCTGTGCCATATCTCTATATCCATAATACTTATCTTCACAGTTGAACACTCAGCACATCACCTGTAATCAACATGATGCAAAAACTGTCTGTCAACTTTTGACAGATTTCAAATATTAACTCAAAAAAATTACCCAAAGAATGATGATAACTCACAAGTTAAGACTGTTCATCCACTGATCACATACAAAACAAAGTGCCAAGTGATATCAACAGGTTCACACCTACTAGAATTTTAGTGTTGTTTTAATGTAGGAAATTTCTTATTATATATATAACTCTGAAGAGCATTTGCTTCATTAAAAATACAGAATTTACTAGCATCAAGCAGTCTATGTAAGAAACAGAAAAGTTAAGAAGCATCTAAAATCAATGGGAAGTACCTGAGTGCAATGAGGGATGGAGCTTGAAATGATTTACTTACTTTTGCCATCATGGCAGAATAGGCAATATATAAAGGATCATCTTCTATTTTGCTATAAAGAGTAAAAAAATATTTTAAATTATTTTAAGAGGTAGTAATACAAATATGTCATTTGCTTACTAATATTTAAATCCCATTTTTATTTAATGGTATTTTATTAAAGTAGATACATATGTCTACTTGAAATATTTTTACACTTGAAAATTGTGTTATAAATGTATTTTCTTGACTCAATCCAAGTCTCTCTGACTTTTTAATTAAACAATTTAGAGCTATATTTGGACATTCAACCTAGTCATTTTGGATAGGTAAGAAGGTTCTGTTGAAGGTGCAGAAATATATTATGAAGAAATATAAATAATTATAGCTGCCAAATGGCTAGTTTATGTTAGACATACAGAAAAAGTATATGAAGCACTGGAGTACTCTAGTCATATAAAATACATATTCTAATCAACAGTCTAAATTCAAAGCAGAAACTGGCACTGAGATTCATGCTAATCATCAACAAAACCTTTTCTGAAATCCTGGGTAAAATGTAATGAATACCAACAAAAAGAACACATATCTATTACCAGGAGAGACCAGGGGAAGGTACACTGATTAAACCAGCAGTTCCTGTAAACTTTATCTTTCTATGAGAAGTCATGCTCGATTACTTCTGTATTGGGGATTTACCAAGCATTTAAAATGTCAAAAATAGTTAATATGTATCTCAATATAAAGGTTATACCGAGATTAAATACATAAAATCTCTGATGAAACTGAGAGGGGACAAAAGTATTCACCATGCAGAAAAAGGAACTACAGAGTCGTGTTAAATCACTTCTTTAATGATACTGGAAATTCAATTACTGTGTGCTTTCACTCAATGTGCTTTTCAACATGGCTCTTTTACCTTCTCTCTGTGAGAGCACTGCGACTGAAATAGAGGATAATCTGATGAAGCGGATCAGGATTTTTTTTCTCAGTCTCTTCTTCTTCCTCTTCACCTTTTTTTGGACATGTCTGTCTCAAGATTTAGAATATACAAGTTAAGCTTCATAAGTAAGAAAAAAAAATTGAGTAATTAAGCTTAGGAAAGTATTTCAGTAATTTTATTCTGTCCAATTTGTATTAACTGCCAGTATTCATCTTATTCATCAGTTTATGGCATAACCTGCAACATTATATGCCTTTATGACTCAGAAGGGGTTAGATTATCTGATTTTTATTCATATTTGAAGATAACTTTAAAAGTTTCTCATTTGCAAGTTACTGAGAATAAGACAGTGAAAATCTTAGGGAAGACTTATTCAGCAGAAATTTGTTTCCAGTTGACCACAATCTAAAGAAATTCCCAGCTCAATTATTTAGCAGGAGAATTACTGGAATAATTTCTAATAATATTATCAGATACATCCTGTTCAGATTACTGTTTGCTACAATGTTTTGGCATATAATTTCTAGGTAACCTTGATTCAATGAATGTAAGGACTGCTAATTATTGTAAACTTCAAACATTATTTGATAGTCAGAAATATAACATAGGCAGCACTGGCCAAAGATCAGTGTATTACCCGTACCTTACTTGTGTTATCACTCATTCATAGGGTTTGTAATTACTGTAGAATTCTTGCAATTATGGTAATAATTTTAATGACAGAAGTTCAATTTACTTCTCTAGCAAATCTGAAATAATTGTAATTACTGTTTTGATTAATGCCCTTATTCCTTCCTTTAGCAAGAAGCAACCAAGTCAAAGACTGACCACATAATTGTCCAGAGCATATGAAGAATGTCCCTGCCCATGGCCAGGGGGTTGGAACTAGATGATCTTTATTGTCCCTTCCAACTGAAAGCATTCTATGATTCCAAGATATTAGCCACAATGGGTCTTTAAAAAGCACATGACTGTGTTAGCTAACGCTGGAGCATCTCCTGATACCTCTTCATGGGATCCATGAAGCTATTTATTAACTTTTATGGTGTTCAGATACTATGGTGATACCTTGGAGGGATTTTAGAGAAGATAACTAAAGAGAGGGAAGAGAAAAACCAGTAGGCTTTCTGAATCAATATTCAGTAACGAAGTCCTGAAGTCTATCCATCACTTTTGTCAAGTACACATGTAAACTAAATTTTTTTCTGAATATTGCTGCATATATTTACTTCTTATGATGCATCAATAAGAAAACAGAAAAGTAATTTGTATCAAAGCTGAAAATGTTAAAATTAAATATCATGCACCAACAAAAATATAAAAGAGGGAAAAGGAGCTGAAAATGTTAAAATGTTAAAATTAAATATCATGCATCAACAAAAATATAAAAGAGGGAAAAGGATCAACTGTGTCAAGCTTTAAAAAAAAGTAAATAAAATATAGGAATATAGAAATTACCACAATGACAAAAATAGTCTGACAGTTAATCTAATCCATTTCTCTTCCCAATAATGAGTATCACATAGTTCGTCTGAAGTAATAAATCACCTTAATCAGGGCAAATGATTTTTTGACCATGGCAGAAAATGACCTTATGCCATGAGGCATAAGAATTAATGTTTTATAAGTTTATGCATAGGCATATGGTACAAAAAAAATGAAATATAGTTTATAATAGATACATAAAATACACATTAAAGTGGGCACTGAAAAATAAATGCCCAATTAGGTCAGTACTTACAGCCAAATCCTGAACTAGTTTCTCCTCAAATGAATATTCCTCTGTTTCTATCCAAAAGTTCTGATAGCCATTGAGGAAGAGGTTAATAGAACGGTGCCTGGGGGGGTTGTGAAAGTGAGATCAAGAGGGGTAACAGAACAGAGTATAACAGCTCAGATGGTTAATGGTTAGTAAGGATTCATATTTGTACAATTCTGATCCTCTGATTGGTCAGTGAAACAAAATGCAAGACATAGCTAACATTCAGTGACAAATCTGCAGGTACTTTTGAACATTTTTAATATTTTTTTATACACACATGTATACACTACTTTTAATGCATTATACGTGAAACTGCAGGATAGGAACCTTAGTGCAAGCATGAGAAAACCACACACTTTAACAGACTGAGAATGAACGAGTGGGATTTACATCTACAAGGTGTAGATCTAGTTTTCTAGATTTAGGACATCAAGACAGCAGAAGTTGACCATCAACACCAAAATAATTATCAGGTGCTTTCCAGGATGTTATCTGCAGACAATCATTGCCTTCTTCCACACAGAGAAGCCTAACCTCAGCTTCTAGTCTATCAGTTCCAAATCAGGGCAGTATTAGAGTATGTCCTCAAAGAAATTACATTAGAAATACATAAAACCTGCTCTAGAAAAATGACCAATTTTAGAAAACTCTTAGTCATATTAATTACTATTATATTCATTAATTCTTCAGGAACAGTGTGGTCAACAGGACTAGGGAGGTGATTCTGCCCCTGTACTTAGAGCTGGTGAGGCCACACCTTGAATACTGTGTACAGTTCTGGGCCCCTCTGTTCAGGAAGGATATTGAGGTTCTGGAGCTGGTCCAGAGAAGAGAAATGAGGCTGATGAAGGGACAAGTGCTATGAGGAGAGGCTGAGGGAGCTGGGGGTGTAACAGCCTGGAGAAGAGGAGGCTCAGGGGAGACCTTGTCACCCTCTGCAGCTCCCTGAGAGGAGGTTGGAGTCAGGTGGGGGTTGGTCTCTTCTTCCAGGCAACCAGCAGCAGGACAAGAGGGCACAGACTCAAGCTCTGCCAGGGGAGGGT